TATGTAATTACTTATCGATATAAGAAAGGAACAAAAATTTAAAAAAAAAAAAAAAAAAAAAAAAAAAAAAAGAACAAATCCTAAATCCTAGTGAAACACCAATTTCTTAAAGGTTGCGGTTGTATGCAAGACTATTCCACTTGTGCAAGATCAAATTAAATTTTTCAATGTATAAATACTATAATATCCTTACTTGTTTAAAAAATAGAAAATTCCAAATGTGCAATACCAAAAACTCAAAAACACAAAAAACCCTATCACAAAACCACAAGACCAACTATCATCTTCTCCATCTTCCAAAACTCACAAAACTTTTCTCCTTCCTCCTCCATAAACTTACAAAACCTAAACATTTAAAATCATCAAAACACCACAAATCTTTCAAAGATGGCAAGTATGGAGTCAGAAGACATCAAAATAGAAGATTATACGGTGGAAGAACCGAAGAAAGTATGCATTTATGTGTTTTTTTAGCTATAATATCATTTTTCCAAAAAAAAACCCCGCGCAAACGCGATCGACATGTACATGTCGAATTTTATAGGTACAAATTGACATTGAGATGTCGATTTTGGAGTACAAAATTAGTCCAAATATACTAAATAGTCCAAATATAGGTACAAAATTGACATTGAGATGTCGATTATAGGTACACCTTAGTATCGAATTTTAACTGTTAGCAAATTAGTCCAAATATACTAAATTTCGATATTAAGGTGTCGAATTTGTGGAATATATTCGACACCTTAATGTCGAAATTTAGTTGTTTCATATTTTTTTAACTTTCTAGTTTCCAATTGCTTTTTATTTCAATATTCATTTATTTTTATAGGAAAGGGCGAATGCGAAGATGTGGTTTATTGTCCAAATTCATTCAAGATTTCAAAAATACGTACAAGACATTAAGATCGTCGCATCAAGAGCGGCGGTTGGCTGCGGAGCTTGGGGGCGGAGCTTTGACGGCAGAGCTTGGAGGGTTTCACGGGAGGGGGTAGGTTTTTTTAATGGGATTATTTGACAAACCCCCTCAATCCTCATATACATTGTGCTATTAAGGAAGACCCAAAAAAAAAAAAATCCCAACTTTTAAGATAATCCAAAATATTATTTAATTAATCATAAATAATTTAATTCACTATTATACCCTTCATCTAACCATATAACTCAAGTTCCGCTTCCGCCATCATCACCGCGTCCGCCATCATTACAAAAACCATGAGAATTGAAGGTACAAACAAAAATTGCAGAATTTGACAGAAACCTAACCACCTTTATAATCATTTTCATTATCCCAATTTCTACCCAAATAAAATTCCAAATAAATCAACTTAGGAAAATAGTTGTTCCCCACATTAACAGCTCAAACAATTCAAAACACAAGGACGTATATTTACAAAATCATATATCTACATGATTAATAAACAATTCATAATGTAATTCATTAATTATACAGTGCTTTTTGTTAATTACAGAGTGGTTTTCGTTAATTACAGAGTGGTTTTGATAAATTGATAAGTTTTTAGTGAATTTTTGTAATAGAATTTGTTAATTACGTAATGATTTTTGTTAATTACAGAGTGTTTTCATTAATTAAAGAGTGTATTACGTTAATATTAATGTGGATTATGCTTATTATATAATTTTTACTTTAATTTCATAGTGGTTTTCGATAAATTTAGTGGTTTTCGATGTAGTGGATTTCAATATGAACCATTTAAAAAAATGAAATAAAAAAAACCAATTTTTGTTTTAAATTGATATAAAAAAACTATTTAAAAAAAGAAAAAAAAAGTGATAAAAAATAAAGCGAAAAAGGAGTGATAGGGGAGATAATTGGGGATGGTGTAGGGAGAAAATAGGGGGATTTGCATATCTAAGAAAAATAATGAATTTTTCAAAATAATATAATATGGTAATTTTTAGGGGCATTTTGAGTAATTCCCCTCAATTGAATTTCTAACAAATATCAATTAAAAAAAATGGATTTACTAAGAAGTAAAAATTGAATGAGGGGTGTTTATCATATAGCCCCATTTTTTATTTCACATTTTCTTTGTTTTCTTTTTTTGTTTTTTGTTTTTTTTTTTCATTATTTGTTATTTGGTCTTACATGAGCAAATAAATACTATGGTATACTATAATTTACTAATTTATATTGAAAATTATGAATGTTTTTAAGAAAAAATCGGTCGTAGTCGACTATAGACATCTATAGGAACTTTTGTAATCCGTAGTCACATACTTTTAAAACCCTAGCTCACATTTTGAACCCTAGTCGTTACCCATTCATAGACACTCATAGTAATTCATAGGCACCCGTAGTCATTCGCACTCATCCAATATGAAACCCTAGATCCACCACCATCACCACCTCCATCCTCTTCCTCTATGTCTGACTTTCTATCTTAATTAGCATTCCCCTTCTCCAAACCCAACATCAAATTAACCAAAAATTACCGTGGTCATCGAAGAAAACCATCACCGACGCCACCGAACAAAACCGCCGCCGCCCGCCACCCCCAGCGACCAAAACCGCCGCCGCCAGCCACCCCCACCGACCAAAACCACCGCCGCCTGCCGCCCTCAGTGACCAAAACTGCCACCGACTCCAGCGACCAAAACCACTGCCGCCCCCAGCGACCAAAACCACCGCCGCCTGCCGCCCCCACACCAAGATCCGATCTAAAAAACTCCTACAACTAACACCTCCAAGTCAACACCGCTACGGAAAATAGAGAAAGAGAGAGATAGAGAGGAGAGAGGAAGGGCTGGGGCCAATGAAGAAAGAGTGAAAGAAGGCCATGGTGGGGTGGTGGAAAATTGAAAAAAAAAGAGAAAAAATTATGGTGGACGGCGGATGATAGAGGGAGGGAGGGAGAGAGAGAGAGAGAGAGAGAGAGAGAGAGAGAGAGAGAGAGAGAGAGAGAGAGAGAGAGAAAAAAATAGATAAATGATAGGAGATAAAGAAACGCTGATAGGAGATAAATGATAGGAGATAAAAAAAAAAAAAGGATGTTGGTCAAATTTTATTTTCAACTAAGAATTTAATTAAAATGTTCTATTTGAGGTTGTCTCTCATATCTGATTAGGTTTGGTTTGAGGGGTGTCTCCAATATTATCCCTATAATTAAATGCCATTTATTTTAATTATGTTCATATATGGTAAACATATCAATTTAGGTGGTGTTTGCAAATGCTTTTTGAAAGTGATTATGCGGTTTTTTTTGCTCATAATCTGTTTTTAGGTGTTTGCAAAATCAACTTTTGCTTTTGCTTCTCTTAAAATAATCTGTTTTAAGCTATTTTTTTAAAAGCACCCATAACCCTGCTTTTTCAATTTTAGTTCATTTTCCGAAATATTTGCAAACACCCCCAACTTTTAGAAATAAGCACTTAAAACTAACTTAAATCACAATCACTAACTTTTGCTTTTAAATAATCATTTGCAAACACCACATTATATTGAAGGTTGACCATATCTATATATACATAACAGAAGGTTGACCATATCTTTATAATTCACAAACAATTTCGCACTCCGCAGGAGCACAACAAATCAAAAATACATAACAGGAGTTAAATATAAGATATTTTTACAAAAATAAATCTGGGCTTGGACTGGGCTTAGGTGCAATAGTAAGTGGGCTCAATTTGTGAGATTTTTTTTTTTTTAGCCGGGTACCCGATCAGGTACCCGGGTAGAATTCCTAATACCCGGACCCGATCCGATTTGTGAGCACCGGGTACCCGAACCCGGAAAAATCCAGTTAATTCAAAAATTATCCGGTCCGGTCGGGTTTACCCGACCGGGTCGGGTCATAACCCGAATAACCCGACCCGAATGCCCACTCCTAACTGTTAATAGGAAGTCACCTATAAAAGTGAGAAGTGGAGCGGCTTCAAATAAGAAACACTTATTAATCCGAGATATGGTCCAAGGCCGAAATTGACACAACGTGAGAACAAAAGGACCTATAATTATTATTGTGTAAGTGTTGTTGACTTGGTTTACACAAAAAACTTATTAGTGCAAAACTTCGCGTTCACTATGCAGCGAGTAAATCCGACACCATTTTACTAAGGAAGGTTCATCGCGACAAGCTACCTCGCCCCATGCAATAATAGTTCGTTTGGACTTTCAAAGTGCCACATACATGCATTAATCTCATTCATGTGGGGGATTGTTGGAAATTTTGAGTGTTGGCTCAATTTTAGTTAATTATTTAAGTGGATTAAATTTAGTTTCTTAAAATTATTTTTTAATGAATGAGAAATTAATAATATCATTTAAAATAATAAATGGAAATGAAGTGGTGTGATTAGTCACCTTTGAAAAACATAGAATTGTTTAAACACCATTTGAGAAATAGGTGTTTAATGTGAAAATGTGTGGTACATTTTCAAGTGATCATTTTCGTAAGAATTATGTCGTTTGGTCATAACCTTTGAGAACTATAAATAATTCCAAATTCCAACATTTGATTAATTCATTCATTCACATAGAATTTAATTCATAAATAATATATTTATAATCCAAGCATCTCATTGCATATTGTTGCAATTATCAAATCCATTTCTTCGTGCCTAGAAAGTCCAAAACTCTCGTTTTGTTCGCGTGTACTTCAAGCCTTGTTGTGCTGCAAACTCGATAACCCACAAATCGTATCTTGAGAACAATTGACTAGAACCATTAACACTAATACGAGCCAATATTATCTTACGGAGAAAAAAAACTAATTCTTGCCTCGACTTCGTTTTGCACTTAAAACTCTCCACTTAAAACTCTGTCCAAATTGCATTTCAAAATATACCTCACCTATAACATATATATGTTTAGAGATGTTGGAAAAAGCAGTAAAACATGCTTGGTTTAAAGAATAACCCGGTTTCGGAGGATTTCATTATTGCTGGCGCAGCACACATCTACTTAAAGTTGAGATTCAAAATTCACATCATCTTCACAAGTAATTAACTTCGTTACTGTTTAATTACAAAGACGAGATTCTTACACACGACTTAGATGCATGCCCGAAACACAAATCAAAGAAACAAACTACGCAGCCGGCGACACCGACGAATAGAGAACCACCACCTCCGCCGCCTCCGCCACCGGTGCCGCCATTATTCGACCATCACCAAGTCCATCACCCCGGTTCTTGAAATCCAGGGACTCGTCGTTGAATATGTCCCACCATCTCGCCACCAACATCTTGATATCCGCTCGATCCATGTTCTCTTCTTTTCCGGTGTATCTCCACGGTTTCGACCCTCCCACACAATAATGGACCACTTTGACCTTATCCAGATCCACCATCTCCGGGTGCCGCCACATCATCGCCACCAACATATTGTATATAGGAAGTAGCGGCTTCGCCACCTCCCTAAAGAACATGTTCAGAAAATCCTACAAAAATCAAGAAAAACTAGTTATATATAGCAAACCAAACAAATAAATGGCCTCAAATTAAAATGCCATTTGATTAATGCGAACACACGGGCGCTATCCGTTTTTATAATTGCATTTAATTTAAACTGCGTTTCAATTTCCCGGAGATCAATAAAATAAATAAGAAATATGGCATTTTTACCTGCTCCGCAAAAGGTGTTGGAGGAGTGACATCGAGAGTTCGTAGTAATTCATCGTACGTGTTTAGGTTCGGCTCGAACATGAACATGCCCCCATTGAAATAGAAGGTGGGCTCCGGTCCGAGTTCTTTGGGCCATCGGATCTTTTGGGGGCAAGGTGGGCCGTACATCTCGCATAGGCAGTCGACTACTCCGTAGAAGGAACCGTTTGGCAAGTCGAAGAAATGGATTCTCTGTTTCGGAATTAGAAACATCGTATTGTGTTAGATAGATCGTAAATTACTCGATTGGTGCACGCGCATTCGGGATTTTTAATACTAATAAATATTCTCCGACGACGAATCTAAAAAGTCACGGTATCAAATTTGCAGAGGCTACACCTAAATCTGTATTGAGGCTAATGGGATTGAAGGGATTGCCTTTGTATCACTTAAAGAGTCATTTACAGGTACTTATTTTAGTTACTCAGTTTAATTTCACGAACTCCTTGTTTTTCATCTTAAACGACGTTTAATTTTCTCGTTACTCGTTTCGCTTGTCCAGAAATATAGACTTGGACAACAACAAGAAGCCAAAAAACAGAATGTTCTTGATCACAATACAGAGAACAGTGGTGAGTAGATTTTCTTTGATTTAAACGACTTATATTTTCGTCTGATTTATTTCGTTTTATTACTGTCTTAATTATTTCTGGATTCTATGTTCTACAAAGTTCTTATGGGCATCATAACATGCGTATCGCAAGCACGAGCGCTAATTCATCGAGCATGAATAGTGAACAAGGGTAGGTGTTTTAAGTTCGACTCGAATTTTTAAATATTTCAATGAGTTTTGATATCACTATAATATAAGTTGCTTATCGAAATAATCTCGTTCGTTTAAAAGCTAATTTCGATTAACATTGAACAGAGACATTCCGATTGCCGAAGCACTTAGGTGTCAGATTGAAGTGCAGAAAACACTGCAACAACAGCTTGAGGTATATATATTATATATATTAACTGACATAATTTAAATAAATAAAATAAATATATATATTAATTTTTATTTTCCTGTGACAGGTGCAGAAGAAATTGCAAATGCGAATAGAAGTTGAAGGGAAGTACATGCAATCGATACTCGAAAAGACTCAACACAGCCTTTCTCCCGACATAAACCAGTCCGAAAATCTGGAATTAACGAAATCTCAATTAACCGACTTCAATTTAGCCCTCTCAAATTTCATGCAAACGAAACGAGAGACCATATGAAGCTTGAAACCGAAGGGCCTTTGATCGAGTTTGATTTAAATTCAAGAAGTAGCTATGATTTCATCGGCATCAATAATCGAGCAGTAGTCGGAGCTAACCAATTCGAAAATAGATGAGTTTTTTTTGTTTTCTTCTAATAAAGCTCGGTGATGGTCGACGTTGTTTGTGTCTTTGTTTAATTTTTTTCCTTTCTATAAAATTCTGGGTCGATGCTGTTTTCATAGCTCATCAATTCACGTGTTGGTTTCGAGTTCCTCTTCGGGCAACTTATCTCAAGGTTAGCCCTTCTCTGTTATGACATTATGTGATGTTTGCTGGTGGGCAGAGTCATGTTGTTACCGGTAAAGACCATGTTCCTAATGGTTTTGCCTATTGTTTTTTTGCTGTTTCATTCGTAGCTTTGTTTTGTCTTCTTTTATCGGCATGTAATTTATTTTTCTAAAGCACCATTTCAGGTTTTTTTTTTTCTTTTCTAAATTATATGGATGGATTCAGATTTCAATGATCTCATTTTCTTTTCTAGGTTGCATGATGGATCCACAAAAAACCAAATTGTCACGAAATCAACTTCTTGGCTGCATGTTGACATTGCTCAGGTTATAAATCATGATTAGCACATTTTTACAATATTTATCATAATTGATTTGTTATTCAGTTGTGCCTGTATTTGATTCATATGCTCACTTGAGATTGGCAATAGGGAGGGATGTTCTCGCAATTTATTTGGCTATTTTGATTTTTTTTTTTTTCACTAAAAGGTTTCATTTCTCTGCTTCACTGTTTATTGAATCTTCATAATTACTTCGAGTTGCTAATTCCGAGATTATGCAATCAAGGAATTCATTTTATTGTTCTACTCTAGTGGCTTCTTTCTTGCAGCAGCCCCACTTTCAGTAATTAGTAATTTCTAATGAAAGATACGGAAGTGCAACACCAACTCGACCTTCAGTAATTACTTGTGGAGTCGGTTGGCTGGTAATTATGATGAAAACCTATTATGTTTCTCTTTTTCCAAATTTTAATCACATTTCTTATGGGTGGCTAGAGCTTTGCTTGATTCTCCTTTTGGCAATCTCACAGGTCCCAGTGCTGTATAGTAATATTGTAAGAATCAATACATAACTCAAGAATTACAAGGTAATAGTGAATTTTATGTATTGATTCTTTCAGCTTTTATTTTATTTAATTTGCACACAGTGGGAGATGAATCGAGTGATGAATTAGGTATAGTTGAACAACCTAATTCAAGTATTGATTCCTTTTTTTCTTTTGATTTCCTGTCAGAACATTTTCACCTCTTAAATAGGTTGATCAAGTTGGTATACTTGGAATTTGTTTTCACGATTATTTAAAGAGCCCGCGTGCTTTTTCCTTCCTTGCTCAGTGATGGAGGTATCTCTTCATATATATGAAAATAACTTTTCCCACTTTTCGCAAGCATTTATCATATTCGATTGCGTCCGAGTAATTTAAAAGTCATAAGTTTATTGATCATATATAAATATAATTTAAACCACTATTCATTGTTAATAGATACTAAAACCTGTGCAGACTAAATTATTGAAAAAAGAAAAAAACTTGCTTTTATATTTTTTTAATAATTATTTTCTTCGGTTTAAGAAAAGGTGTTCAATATAGAAGCAATTTTGTTTTAATGGAAGCAATTTTTTTTAATACAAGCAATTATACTTCTGTATCTGTCAAAATTATATTTCTGTATTTGAAGTTGATGTTTTTCTGTTCTTCTGCTCTATGGCTTTGGACAGTAAAAAAAAAAAAAAAAAAAAAAAAATTCCGCGAGCAGTGCTAATTACCGGGATTGACAGACCAGCATTGATAGCATACTAATGAGTAATGAGCATCTTTTCTACTTTTATATATGTTATAATCGTGCTACTTTTAGTTTATTTCTCATTTATCTTTCGATTTTCTGTGTTCATTGGTTTTTATTTTTCTATTTGTATTTTTTCTTAGTAGGACATTTAAGGTTCGAGATTTGCAGGGGTTTTGCATTATCGAGCTGTTGATTTTCGATCTATTAAAGATCGGATGGTCCCTTGGTGAATAGATCAGGCAAATTTTTTTCTTATCGAAGTAGCTTTAGTTTTATCGTTTTTGCAAATGCCGTTGTTGCCGAAAAGGTTGTCACGCGTAAAGGCACATAATAGATGGAAGAATTGTAGGGCGATAGTTGTTTAGCAAATCCACGCCAAACCTCAATGTGTATATTTTGTTCGTCAAACTTCTAAATGATGTTATACCTGCATAGGCATCTTAGTTTAATTTATGACCTCCCATATACTCGAGAAGGATATATTGTGGTTTCTGTTCCCTTCTCTTTTGATATATATACATTCTGAATGCAAAGATTTCATAGTTTAGAGACAACAATTTATCTCTGCAAAATTTGTGATTAATGAACATTAGGAAACTGCTACATTATTCCTTGGCAAACAATCCTTCACTATCGGACATAAAACGATCTTTTAATATCGGACACAAATAGTCAAAAAATTGCACCGTGCAGGGGCACCGCGCCTTGCGCGGTGCTCGTACCTAGTATATATATATATATATATATATATATATACCTTGAATTGACCAAATACCCTTTAAGTGGAAGGAGAAATTCAATTTCGGTGAATAATATACTAGAAATTTGATTTTGTTGCGAAGTGCAATCGAAACAATTTTAGGAGGGAGACGCCTCTTTTTTGAATTTTCAACGTGGAAAGTCCGAAATTTTGAAATCTCTAAGGAACGAAGAGCATTTTTTTCCTTAATTTTCTTTTCTTTCCCATCTGAAATCAAGGCTATTTAATAGTTTCATTAATTGGTGTGCATGTACTTTAAACTACAATCACAATAAAAGTTCATAATACAATGAAGAAAATACAATATACACACATAAACAATACATACATTAGTTACCAACATTCACTCAAATACATACAAACTAGAACATTCTTATCAAAATAAAAAAATAAAAAAAGGAGCTAGAACAACATGTGTGAATCTCATGTTCACATTATTTAAAGTAAAAACATCCATTTAATTTATCAACCAGAAATCTGAGTAATTTCATCTCCAGTGAAGTCGAGAGCTTGGTCGTTATAAATATCCCACCATCGTTGGATCAGCATTTTCACGTCAGCTCTATCCATGTATTGCTCTTCTCCGTTATACTTCCATGGCTTCGATCCATTTACACAAAAGTGAACCACTTTCACTTCATCGATCTCAACACACTCAGGGTGCCGCCAAAGCATCGCCACCAACAAGTTGTAAATCGGCGGTATTGGCTTCGAAATATCTTTGAAGAAGTAGTTCAGGAAATCCTACAAAAATTCCGAGCTTTGAGTACTCAAGTGCGTCTCGAATATTAAAACAATAGAAAATATAAACAACATACAATAAAAATATGTACAAGAAAGATTAAAATTTGCATCTTTCATTAATTTTTCAATTTTTTTCTCCCGAAGCAACTTTTTGATGTATGCAATTCAAGAATCTCCATTTGCCAACGATACAAGAGATCCAAAAACATCACAAAGTTGTATACTTTTTCTTAGTAATTTTTCCAAATACAATCTCTATATAATTTATATATATACTTTTCTAAATTTAGAAAACTTAAAGGTACATCTGCAAATGCCCACGACACCGTTCCATATAATTCGCATTTGTTTTTTCCTGTTATACCCTTGTTAATCTGACTCTATTAAGCATTAACTCGCTCTTATCACATTATTAAGTGATAAAGGTTATCTTAGTCTTTTTTACGTGTATTTCCTAAAATTCAACCATTAATAACTTTCTTAATATGTGTGTACTGTGTAGAAACCTCCAACGACAGATATTATGGAACAGATGGAGTATTTATTATGAAATAACAAGTATGAATTGTCCATCAAGAATCTGCAATTTATTTTTTACCTGCTCAGCAAACGGGGTCGGAGGTGTGACTTCAAGTGTGGTCAAGAGATTGTTGTACGTATGGAGACTAGGCTCGAGCACAAACATGCCCCCGTTGAAATAAAACGGTGGCTCGTCGCCCAAAGCCTCAGGCCACTTCACCTTTTGTGCACAAGGCGGGCCCCGCATCTCACACAAGCAGTCCATCACAGCGTATAACCATCCACTCGGCAAATCAAACAGGTTGTCTATATTCTCAAACACTTGAATATCCGCATCCATGTATATCATCTTCTCGTACTCCACAAACTGCAACCGAAAAATCAAAACCAAATTTCTTACATTAATTTTCAAAAAAAAAACAAAAAATCATTAATAATAATAATAATAA